CAATGTTTTTCAATAAGCATATATTGATCTTCCACCATGTACCAAACACTGTGCTGAGCAGTGGGGATATGGTAGTTAACAAAACATGCATGTCATGAGCCTTCTCGAAGCTTATGGTACAACAACCACCTGGAGGTCTGCTTAACTGGACATTTAGACTCACATGACAATGAGAGCCAAATTGGCATCAGGTTGACTTAGAAGAACATAGAATAAGCAACACAGATTCCCAACACGGCAGCATCAGTTGCTTCTCTTCAGCAGGAGCCCCTACACTGGTCTACACCGCAGTCCACCAAGTTGACTGCTACCTGCCTTCAGTGACAGCTCAGCTGTGGTTGCAGGATCCACCTTGGCCTAGCACCACATGCCTGTGGGAGTCAATATGTCTTATAACAACTCCATAGTCATAGCTTTCAGGGACCCCACAATGGATAAGCTGAGTTACAAGAGTTACCACATTGAACGAAAGCCAAAGTTACCACTTCACACCAGACATTTGTAATTCATACTTAGTCCCTCCCAGTCTGCCAGTCATGGGTGTTTTCTAAGCCCAGAGTTTGCCTAGTAACATAGCAAAAAGTCCACAATTTCCAAACTAACAAACAGGGACGTTAACCCTGGGTCAAACGTGCCTTTAATAAAGGTAAGTTTACCCTTTATCCATAAGGGGTGAAGCAAACATTAACCGAATAATCACAAAACTGATTGCTCTGCCAGGGATTATTTTTGATGCTATACAAAACTAATGATTTGACTCTAGACTTTTTCCTGAGAAGGCATAGTTTACTGTGTTATTGGGACACAGTAAAGAGGATGCACTCCATTTGTTTTACTTGCCTAGAAAACTTTTTATTCCAACACAGTTTGGTCTCAACCAAGTTCTCCAAATAAGGCTAGAGACATCACAAGAAAGGTGGGCACATTCCCTGAGCAAGGTGGATGCTGTGGGAACAGGAATGTAAGTGTGAGAGCGTATCCGCAAAACAGAACAAAGTAGATTGGGCCAAATCCAAGAGTGCAAAGCAGCGTGGGAGCTTATTCAACAGAAATAAGTTGGAAAAAAAGTTTCAAGGGTCTGGCAATTAAAGCTAAGGAATGTGAAATTTATTTAAGAGGCTATAAAGAAATACTATAGGTTTATAAGCAAGGAAAAAATTTTAAGCAGGTATATATGGCTGTTGAATCATATCAATAGTAACCTTATCTAACTAAGAATAAAATTATTTCCATAGCAAGTCATTCAAACCAGAAAAGGAAATTAAAGAAATCCAAATACTTGGGTACAAATTTCAAGTCAATATTGTATCTGTACCAGGACTTACCCAGGCTCTGGGTGCCAAGGGAATGATGTTACCTTTACTGCTCACATCGCAGAGGCTCTGATCCTTTCCGTGGACTACGGGGACCGCCCCTCCCTGGTCTCCAAGCGGCTCCTTATGCTTGCGATATAGGGGCAGGGAGGCTCACGCTGGCCAGGGCACTGCCCACCACCTTGCTTAGTGCAATCCCCCTTTCCCTAAGGGAGACGCTGCTTCCTCCTGGACCCCGAAATCCATACGAGCTGCCCTCGTGTCCTCTGTTATGTTTCTTTGGGAATCGCTCCTCCTCCCTGACCCAGTTGAGCCAAAATCACCTTCTTTTGTAGCCTCATTACTAAAGCTTTTGGGGATTTCTACTTTATAATCAGCTCTCTAGGACCCAAGACCTTCTCCTCAAGAAAGCCCCGTTTCTTCCTTAGTTTGAACAGTTCAGAACATACATTTCACTTGTATTAGTTATTTTGAAATGTGCTTTCCCTGCCATGTGAATATTTTTTTGTGAGTAACATGGCTCACAATGTTTTTACTTCTCCTTTAGCCTTAAATCTTGAGTATCTCTTTTCTGTGTGGGAAACAAAGTCTTTTTTGATGGGATCTTCTTATTTCTGTCCCAGGGGATGGTGGGAGAACGTTGAGTCATGTTGGACCCACTGAGCTCTGAGTGACCCAAAGGGTTGAAAATTCCTAAAGGTACAATTTCTAGATGTTGTCCCTGATCTCTGCTGGAGATAACTAATTTCCTTCTCTCTCCCACTGACTCTGTCTCTGGCTCTTCAGTGCTCCCAGACAAATGGTATTTACAAGAAATTGATGAAGAAGGGAGAGAGGAGGGGCCCAGCAGCCAACTAAGGCTTGAACAAGGTAATAAC